TTTATTTCAAGGCTTGAACCGTATCTGCATATAAAGACAAAATGGAAAATATAGATAAATATGCTGACCGAGGCCTCTTTGGAATCGGAGGCCCGGGCCAAGTGGCCCATATGCCCCCCCCCCCGTCTGGGCCTGGGGGCTGTTAGATCAGGAAAAGGTCGTGGGAGAAAGGTTTACAGTCCCCTTCCCCAGCACCATGAATATGATCATAGAACCATAGAATTGTGGAGTTGGAAGGGACCTCAAGGGTCAAACCCCCTACAATGCAATGCAATGCAGGTTCCAATCCTCTGTCATGGATGCTTCAGTTGAGATTCCTGCATTGCAGGAGGCTGAAGACCCTTGAGGTCCCTTCCAGCCATGATTCCATGAGTGTTTTCATCTATCTGGAATGTGTCCTCAAACTCTGATGATGTCTATTCCTGGATCAATAATCAGCAAGTCATAGGAAACCCATTCACCCCCGAAACAGCAGCAAGGTGGAGGGCATACAGCCCGTGGTCTGCTCTGCAGGACCGGCGTTGCAGCAGCAAGCCCCACAACCATGTTTGTTTATTTAAACAAAAACAGAAGTGAAGGAAGAGTCCTGCGGTGCAGAAAACATACTGCAGGCGGAGTCTGCAACAGCCGCTAGTTCTGGTAGCTGCTGTATTTCGACACCAAGCTGAGCTAAAAATAATTACTATCTCATGCATAGAAGGCGAAATGATCTGTGGTGATGAAGCTACAGATGAGACTCCTTGTTGGTAGCTACTAATTTGTGAAGGTTTAATTGTCACATACACACTTAAAAAAAATAATTCTGTAGCACATCAGATGCTTTCTACAAAGGGTGCTGAAATAGCCACTGGAGAGAGTACGCAATTCATCCCTCCCTCAGCCTTCTTATGGCCATTGGGAATAATAATTTTAACAGGTGAGTATATGACAATGGAGAGTTTGCGCATTATGCATTTCATTTCATTTCTATCCCACGCTCCCTGTGGAGAACTCGGGCTGGCATACCTTATTTTCCCAAGACCATTTCTAGCCTCTCAACGACCCTGTGAGGTAGGTTGGGCTGAGAGAGAGCAACTATCAAGGCCACCCTGTGAGGATTCAGGTCCCAGTGTGACATGCTGAATCATTGCACTGTACTTGCTCCCACAATGCTGGTGCAATGTCCCATGGTTTCCGCCCTACATGATACCCCAAACCGCCGGATCTTCAAGCACAGAAACCGAAAGAGCAGACTACCATATTTTTCGCTCTATAACACGCACCCGACCATAATACGCACGTAGTTTTTAGAGGAGGAAAATCCGTAGGCATGCCACCCTTAGGCATTTCCTCCATAACACGCACAGACATTTCCCCTTACTTTCTAGGAGGAAAAAAGTGAGTGTTATGGTGCAAAAAATACGGCAAACCCTGGTTGGTCACCTGGCAAGCCACAGGCTGATCTAAGACTCTGGGGCTGGTTCACACATGCATCAACATCACTTGATTTCTCTTTGCTTGTTATTCTTGATGAATGACTCACCACTGAATGTGTGAACCGACTCCTTCAAAAAGCATGGCATTTCAGGTGATGAAGTTTTGTTTGTGATGCATATTTATTTACAGTGGTACCTCAGGTTAAGTACTTAATTCGTTCCAGAGGTCCGTTCTTAACCTGAAACTGTTCTTAACCTGAAGCACCACTTTAGCTAATGGGGCCTCCCATTGCTGCCGTGCTGCCGGAGCACGATTTCTGTTCTCATCCTGAAGCAAAGTTCTTAACCTGAAGCACTATTTCTGGGTTAGCGGAGTCTGTAACCTGAAGCGAATGTAAACTGAAGCGTATGTAACTGGAGGTACCACTGTATTTATGCATTTTCCCAGAAAGTAATATATACATCATAGTTTTATTTATTTCGTTATTATTTACTGAATCTATATCCTGCCTGCCTCCCCACAAAGAGCCCAGGGCACAATTTAAAATAAAAAAATAAAGCAACAAACATTCTAAAACACTTGAAACAAAATCAATTCCTGTCAAAAATATCTAAAAACAATTCAAATGAAAAAGTATCTAAAAGCAGTTACAGTTAAAACGGTCTTCCCTCCCATGATCTTGGGGTTGTCAGGAATAGTATTCTTCAGCAACCAAATACCTGAGTAACCAAGCATGTTTTTGAATTCTTCCTAAAAGTGAATAATGATGGAGACAGGCACATGTCACCAGAGGGGGAATTCCGCAATTGGGAAACCACCACTGAAAAGGCCCTGTCACAGATAAGCACCAACTCAGCAGCCCCTCATGGTGACACCACCAACAAGGCCTCATTGGCCAATCATAGGGCCCAGAATGGTTGGTACTGGTTTTGTGGTATGGCAGTCACATGTGTTCACCTTGTGCTGCTGTCAAGTGATTGCCCACAGGTATGTGAACTTGGAAATGGCAGCCCTACTGTTAGGCAGAGTAAGACAGTTACCTCAGGCAGCTGATTCTGAGTGGTGTTAGTTTTTCAGCTTTTCATTGTTGTTTTTGCTACTGGGCAGGCACTACTGGGGTTTTCTGTCTCAGGGGTCAAAATAACTTGACTGGTCTTGGGTACAGTGGCTCTTGACTAGGGGTTCGCTCTGTCTCAGGCGGCAAAATATCTTGGGCTGGCCACAATGAACTGTTTCCTGCTCCGCACATATTTTTTGATGCAAATTAACTGTCCTTCGGGGACTCAGATGTATTTTACAGTAACAATTTGGATGCCTATGTTTGAAAACATAATCTTAGCAATTGTTTGTATTTTCTTACCCTTCCCTCTCCCCACCCCCAATTGCCACACACCAATAGTTTCAAAATATCTAAATATATTTTTAAGAAAACCAGAGTGGAGGGGGGGGAGGTGTGCCATCGGAGTGAGTGCTTTTGGTTAAATTATACGCTCCTGAAAACATAGTGTGTAAAAAGGAAATGCTAAAAACTGACAGGCCCCTAATTATGGCATCCCCAGTGGGTGATACAGTAATAGTACTGTAGGGTGTTCAAAAAGTCTGTGTTTTAAGGTCAGCATTAGATCATGCACACTTTGAACACATCCTTTTGAAATGTGCCTCTGTTTCTTTAGGTCTGTGGAGCTATCGGCTTGGCAGTTAGAAATGTGCAGAACACAATTCTCACCCAAAATCAATAGATATTAATAACAATCCCCACAACCTTCCAAAGTCTTTTGCAGCTAAGGATGGAGGAGATATTTGATCTAGTTCACGTTAAAGGCAAACCCATCAAATTCACACTCTATTTGCTATGGAGACACTAGCCTTTAAAAATTAACCCGTTCAAGCCTCTGTGAGAGGCTGGGCTCATTTGTACGCACGGGCGTACTGGAAAGAGAAAAGGAACAAAACTACTGTGAATCAGCATAACTGGAGTCAGAGGAACTTGTGGTTAAACTATTTTTCTTTCTTTCTCTGCAGCCAACACCTGCTTCTTCCAGTCATTCTCGATAATGATTATCACCATGATGTCCACAGATGCTGTGGAAGGCTCAGAATTGGCTCCAAAGCCAGCACCCTGGGCAAGCCGAAGTGAATAATATTTTTTAAAGCAATAATCATCGTTCACATGTCTCACTCACAGGTGTCAAAGCGAAGAACTATGATACACTGGCATCCTCGTGAGCTGCACTGGGCTACACTCATTATACCGGCAGACGAGGCAAGACAAGCTGTGGAGTGCAGATGACTAAGGGGTTTTTCATACTGGACTTAGCCCTACACATTCCTGTCTCTCGGGACTCATTCAGATGTTGCATTAGTTAGCAGGATTGGTGGACGTGAGAGTCACTCACAGCTCTGCCTTCCCTCCCGGCCCCACAAAGCCTGCTTCACTTGGCTGGCAATCAACAATCTGATTAGAGGATCTTCGGAGAGTTAAGAGTCAATGGATAAAAAGAGTGTGGCATGGGGAATTGACTTCTCATGTAAATAACCAGCCAAAATAAACCATATTTTTCAATCCTGTTTAGAAAAATATTATTCCAGAACCTCGGCGTGGGGAGGCTTGATTTTTTACCCATGCCAATGCCCTGTGCTGCCCCTTTCACAGCTAAATGTGCTTATCACATGCAATGGCTCTTTAACATGCAGCAGAGATGAGGATCCTATGGTCCAGGGGCTGAATGTGGCCCCTGGAACTCTCCTTTGGCCGAACTCTTATCTCAGGACATCACCTGTCTGCTATCCCAAGCCTAGTTTTAAAAAGGCACAGTTTTCCTGTGAGCACAGCCTGCCCCCTTCCCTGTTTTCAATCCCAAACCTTTCTCCCCCCACTACGGTAGCTGTAGCAACTCTGTTTTGCACAGACCCAATGATTTCTCTTTAATGGGCCATCAACACCATTTAAAAAAAAAATGTTAATAGCCTCTATCCCAGGTGAGGCCCTGGCTTGGAAAGGCACCTTAGCCTGAATTTTTCCACTGGCCTGGAATCCTCCCTTCAATACTCCAAATATTATCTAAATACAACCATTTATTAGTTTCTAATATTCACGAACAGACTCGGGTACCCCAGCTATAACAGTACATATACCATTAAACCTGAAGGTGCTACAGCGTGGTCATCCTAAGTTTCATGCATTGGAATGTAACTTTTGTATGAATGGCAGGACGATTTGTACTTAGCACTACATGTCAATAAAAGGTTGTTCCTTCCCCGGAGTCCAAATGCGTGCTTTGCTATATACTATATAAAAACATCCTTTGAAAAGACTTTCCTCCTGTGTGAAGGCCCATTAGTAGGACTTCCTGGCTTAGCCAACTGTATATAGCAATGGCAAATCCTATTATGCTTATCCTAAAATGCCCTTTACCAGGCAGCGAGATGAACTTTACAAAGGACACTAGGAGCTTAATTGTTCTCTGAGCCTGCTGTAAGAAGAGCAGACTTACCTTGCTGCAACTGCTCAGCTATTTGGGAGCATAGCTGAATCCTTACCTGCCCCACACCTGACATCATCATCATCATCCTCGACATCATCAACAATAGCTCAGTCGGTAGAGCATGAGACTCCTAATCTCAGGGTTGTGAGTTCAAGAACTACATTGGGCAATAGGGTTCCTGCATTGCAGGGGATTGGACAAGATGACTCTTGTGGTCCCTTCCAACACTACAATTCTACGATTCTATCATTCTGAACCCCATCTTTCCTTCAAAGAAGCTCAAGGTAGCATACATGATTCTCCCTCTTCTCCTTTTATCCTCACAATAGCCCAACACCTTCTTCTCCTCCACTTCACCATCGCTGCTACCACCTGCTTAGAGATGGGCAGATCTGACAAATCCTGACCTTCCAGAGAGGATATAGGGAGCGGTGTTGGTGTTGGGGGAGCTCAGGAGAGGAAGGATGGCAAACTTTCTTTCCACTCACTTCCCTTAGGATCCAAGCTAGTGCGTTTCACTGCAAACTTCTGCGGAGGGTCTTTGCTTATGCGCATGCCATGACTTGAATATCTATTACTGATTAATTACCATTCTGCCTTGCTGAAGGCTAAAGGAAGATCTCTATGTTCTGGATTTTAATTTTAAGTGTGTATGTTTTGAAAAGCATTTCTCCTGACATTTTTTTTTTAACAACAAAGAACATATGCTGTTTAAATTCCCAGGAGGTAGTCTGGAAATGCGCTTTGCATACTGCGATGCCTTATTTAAAATCTCCTAAGCACAAGGACTGCAGTTATCAGAGAGTCTAATCATTTTTATATAGTCTATCTTCAGAATAAAAAAAAAGAGCCTGGATGGATCAAACCAACAGCCCATCCAGTCCAGCTTTCTCTTTCCAACAGTGGCCAGCTAGACATTTCTGAAGCACAGGAGAAGGGTATGAAAGTGAGGACCACCCCAAAGGCTAATAATAATAATAATAATAATAATAATAATAATAATATTTGTACCCCGCCCATCTGGCTGGGTTTCCCCAGTCACTCTGGGCGGCTCCCAACAGAATATTAAAAACACCAGACATTAAAAACTTCCCTAAACAGGGCTGCCTTAAGATGTCTTCTGAAAATCAGACAGTTGCTTATTTCCTTGTCATCTGATGGGAGGGCATTCCACAGGGCAGGTGCCACTACCGAGAAGGCCCTCTGCCTGGTTTCCTGTAACCTCACTTCTTGCAGGGAGGGGAACCACCAGAAGGCCATTGGAGCTGGACCGATGTGGGTGGAGACACTCCTTCAGGTATACTGGGCCAAGGCCATTTAGGGCTTTAAAGGTCAGCACCAACCCTTTGAATTGTGCTCAGAAACGTACTGGGAGCCAATGTAGGTCTTTCAGGACCAGTGTTATATGATCTCAGTGGCCACTCCCAGTCACCAGTCTAGCTGTCGCATTCTGAATTAGTGGCAGTTTTCGGATCACCTTCAAAAGGAGCCCCACGTAGAGCGCATTGCAGTAGTCCAAGCAGGAGATAACCAAAGCATGCACCACTCTGGCGAGACAGTCGACAGGCAGCCTGCGTACTCAGCCTGCGTACCAGATGGAGCTGGTAGACAGCTGTCCTGGTCACATAATTGACCTGTGCCTCCATGGACAGCTGTGAGTCCAGAACGATTCCCAGGCTGCGCACCTGGTCTTTCAGGGGCACAGTTACCCCATTCAGGACCAGGGAGTTCTCCACACCTGCCCTGTCTCCCCAAAACAGTACTTCTGTCTTGTCAGGATTCAACCTGAATCTGTCGGAACACAATCCTCTGGAACACAAGAAGCAGCTTTATGTTGATGTATACTAGTGGTCCACCTAGCTTTGTACTGTCCACACTGACTGACAGGGTCTCTCCATGGTTTCAGACACAGCATTTCCCCAGTCCTACTTCGGGATGTCGAGGATTGAACTCCTGCATGCAAGGCAGATGTTCCACCACTGAGCTATGGTGCTTCATCCTTATGCTTTATATTTACCATTCTCTCATAGCTTCTGCTCAACTTTTCTCATAATCTCTCCTGCCTGGCCAGCCTGCACACCCTGTGCCTGCCAGATGTCAGCAGCTGTTCCTTTTTATTCTAGCATTACAGGGAGACCTTTGTGCTCCTCCTTGCAATATGCATGGCCATTTGGGCTGCACAGCGTGTCTTGCACACTGCTTCCTGGCTACATTTTGATCTGTTTAGCAATGCCTATAAGAACTACTGTCGCCTTCTCGGAATGAACGGTGATGACAAACACAGGAACAGGGGGAAATCCCCCCCTCCGGCACTGAGCAGTGAGGTCTCTGTCATTCACATTTTGGTGGGGGAGCCTTGATACTACTGACCTCATGCCCTGTCTTTGGGCTTCCCATAGGAATCTGGCTGACCACTGTCAGAAGCAAGATGCTGGACCTTTGGCCTAATCCAGCTCTTATGACAGATTGATTGATCTGTCAAATTTATTATTTATGTCTACATACGGAATCTTTTCATTTGGTGGTTTTCAAAGTGGTTTTTAGCTATAACCTGAGGGCGCTGCCACAGAACATGCGAGTGACCACCATTTTAATAACTGAGGTTTTCTTTTTGTGTGTGTGGCTTCAATCAGGAAGCAGGCATGTGTGGGGTAGAGTGGGTGGTGGGTGGGATGAGGAGACACTTAAGCTGGTGTCTCCAGAAAGTGTTTTCTGATTGCAACTTTTTCTGCTGTTTCACACAAGTCAGATGTATGCGCTCTACAAAAATGACTACAAAAAAATGTTTGCAATCTACATCAAAAAATCCCCAAAGACCACATATGACCAGACTTGGAAAATTCTACTGCAATTGCAAGTCTCGCAGCTCTTTTAGTTCTTTTAGGCAGCTATGGAAATCACATAACCAAGGAATTCTGTGATGCTTGCACATTCTTGCTAATAAAAGGTATCACTTTACTTGGGTTCCTTATATTCTGAGCCTAAAAATGCAGGAAATGCATATTCAGATATCAGTTGCATGTCATGGGCAGCCATGTGGGATCCTGGGTCTTTTTTTAATTCTAAGCAACAGATTTATGCCATGGCTAGTGCCTTCCAGATCTTGTTGTGACTCCAACTCCCATTATCCCTGACCATTGGCCATGGTAGTTGTCATGGTAGTTGGGGCTAATGGAAGTTGTAGTCCAGCAATTTCTGGAGGGCACCATGTTGGCTGCTGCTGCTGCTGCTTCTGCTTCTTCTTCTTCTTCTTCTTCTTCTTCTTCTTCTATTTCTATATTGCCCTCCATCTGAGGATCACAGGGTTTACAATTAACGCCCCCATAAAAATGCATAACATAGTAACAAACAAAAACAACTCCACAATAAAATAGATTGTTTAATTAGCCAAAGGCCTGGGAGAAGAGGAATGTTTTTGCCTGGTGCCTAAAGATATGTTTAAAAAGGCACTAAGTGAATCTCCCTGATGTCAGGGACTGGGCAGAGGAGGAATGTTGGAGACCACCTCCCCAGCCTGACCGTTCCAGAGAAGAGGAAGACAGTTCAGAATTACAACAGGGGTTTGAGGGAGGTCACAGCTCAGAGGCAGATGAGGGGAAATAATGGGAGAGGAGGAAGAGGAAGCACCAGGGAGGGGGCGACAGCTGATGGACACTGTGTCTTTAGAAAGCATTCCAGACCCTCCCTTCTCCCAGAACCTGGCGAGCCTTGAAAGTAGGAGAGCAAAGAGCTCAAAGGCAGAGGGTGCTTGTCAGTAGGGATTATGCATGAGGGAATGGGAGAGATAGAGGGGGTGGAGATTCACTAGGGACAACACCGTTATCCAAAGAGGCTGGATTCTAAAGCCTCTCTCTGTAAATAGTGAATAAAAAGTGGATGGTAAGAAACATTTCCTTGTCCTTGTACGTTCCTGGGCAACCGGCCATGGCAGTTGCTGGCAAGCTGCCTGACACCTGAGGAGAGCATTCCACAAATTCCATTGCAGAAAAGACCTGTTCTCATGTTGCCACCCTCCAGAGCTCTCGTGAAGGAAGTACACAAAGAAGGGCCTCAGATGATCATTGCAGGGTCTGGGCCAGTTCATATGGGGAGAGGTGGTCCTTGAGTTCTGAACTGTTTAAGGCTTTATAGGTCAAAGCCAGTATTTGAACTGAGACCAGAAACTGATTGGCAGCCAGTGCAGCCGGGCCAGGATTGGCACCATATGCTCAAACTGTGTTACCCCAGTGAGCAACCTGGCTGCTGAATTCTGCACCAGCTGGAGTTTCCAAACTAACTTCAGAGGCAGCCCCAAGCATAATGTGTGGCAGCAATCTAACCTAGAGGTTATGCCTAGATTACACAATTGTATTTCTATCTATCTATCATCTATCTATCTATCATCTATCTATCTATCTATCTATCTATCTATCTATCTATCTATCATCTATCTATCTATCTATCTATCTATCTAATCTATCTATCTAGCTATCGTCTATCTATCTATCTATCTATCTATCTATCTATCTATCTATCTATCTATCATCTATCATCTTCCAGAGATATGAATGTATTTGGAAAGTTGCAGCTTAGTGTAATAGATATACATGCAAAGTATTTTGTGTCTCTGCTGGTAACCCAGATATTATTAGCAAAGCACAACTGGGCTGTAAGCTTCAGTGGTGGCATCTGCGTTATTTACTTTATTTACATCACTGTAGCTGTCAAAAGTAGTGGGTGGTTTAAAAAGTGTACTGTTATTAAAGCTGACACAAGCAGCAACATCAGAGTCCCAACTGGAGCAGCTTCTTTCATGCCAAGGAAACAGACATCCTCCCTGGGGAAATTCACTCCCGTGCCCCACGGGGATAGTCAAAATGGTCAGTCTGCCGGTCTCCCAGAGCAAGAGTGAGAAATATTCTCCTCCTAGTTTGCTATGACCAGTTTAAGATCAACAACAACAACAACAACAACAACAACAACAACAACAAGAGCAATAAGTTATTTATATGCCACCCATCTGACTGGGTTACCCCAGCAACTCTGGGCAGTTTCCAACAAATTAATACCCAATACGACATCAAACATTAAAAACTTCCCTAGTCAGGGCTGCCTTCAGATGTCAGTTGTTTATTTCCCTGACATCTGATGGGAGGGCGTTCCACAGGGCAGGCACAAATACAGAGAAGGCCC